CTTTTAAATCTAGGCTGATATATCACTTTTGGGGCTCTACTGATATAAACATAACATATCATTTTGTAGATATCATTTTCAAACATATCATCCGATATGGACCGAAATATCGACCGATATGGCCGATATCTAGCTCGATATGTCCGCCAATATAGAACGATACATAGATGACAACAATTATTTATCAGAATGCAGTGAAAATATAATTCTGCATTTACAAATTGATTATATATTATCAAAGTTGTGTACAATGTTTCATACAAATGCATGTATATCACATTGTTTTTAATCATAAAGCAAGGATTTTGTGAATATTTCCTTAATAGTTTCTTAATCAACAAGTCAATAAACTAGGAATCTAAAACTGTCATGTTAAAGCATTGACATCATACATTTTGTTTTACTAAAAATAAAGTTTTGAACAAGAATAATGAAATAATAAACTAGACATGTTTTCTCCGATATATCTACATATCGTCCGATATATCACCCGATATCCGACATCCGATATGTCGAAGCCAAACCGATATGAACCCGATATCCGATATTTTGAAGCTTGCTCGTCACACGACCCACACAAGGAGGCGAGTGCTTGCTTGGGACATGCCAGTTATCCCGATTAATCGGAATTTCTTGACCAGTCCACCATTGATCAGTTGACCCTTGACTTTTCGAGAAAATGTGACTTTTTGGAGAAAAAAACATGAGTTCATAAAAAATGTTCATGAATTCAAAAAATCGCAATTTCAAAAAAAGTTGACAAACTTTAAAAAGTGCACTAGTTCAAACAAAAATGCGGGATTAAATTCAAAAAAGTGCATGAATCTGATTTTTTAATGAATTCAAGGAAAAACATACAACATAAATTCAAAAAATTCACAGATGTTAGAAAGTTCAGGAATTTGAAGAAGGCTTTTGAATTGAAAAGGTTCAAGCATTTAAAAGTTCGGGAATCGGAAATATCCTTTCTATTGGAAGAAGGCTTTACATTAACCAATGTTTGTCTCAGTAGTATACCCTTGTACACGTTATCTTTCCTGGAGGCCCTAAAGGTTCCTTAAAGAAGATGAATACCAATAGAGCTAGAATGACCTGGCAGGACAAATAGGACCAAGAAGATATACCATTTGGTTAACTGGCCTTTAGTTTGTCTGCCAAAAGACTGGTGGACTTGGTGTGCTGGATTTACAAACTATGAATCAAAGTTTACTATGCAAATGACTATGGAAGCTTTATAACTCTGAAGGTCTACGGCAAAATTTTCTCACACAGAAATATCTTCACTCTCTAACCCTGCCAAGTATGGGTGTAGGAACTGGTGGGTGTCACTTTTGGCAGGGCTGAATGTGAATAACATTTTCCAACATTTTGCCAAAAAGAAACTTGTTGATAGGAAAAACACCCTTTTTAGGAAGATGTTTGGATTGATGATATCTCTCTGGCTGACAGATTCCCTAGATTGAATTTTGCATGCTTCACCAAGCAGGTTACTGTTGAAAGTGTATCCATGTCCTTAAGCATATATTGACATTGTTGATAGTATACA